TAACCCTAACCCTGAACATAACCCTAATCCATCCCTAACCCTAACCCTAACCCTAACCCTAACCCTAACCCTAACCCTAACCCTAACCCTGAACCTAACCCTAACCCTAACCCTAACCCTAAACCTAACCCTGAAGCTAACCCTAACCCTGAACCTGAAGCTAACCCTAACCCTAACCCTAACCCTGAACATAACCCTAATCCATCCCTAACCCTAACCCTAACCCTAACCCTAACCCTAACCCTAACCCTAACCCTAACCCTGAACCTAACCCTAACCCTAACCCTAATCCTAACCCTGAACCTAACCCTAACCCTGAACCTAACCCTAAACCTAACCCTGAACCTAACCCTAATCCTAACCCTAATCCTAACCCTTACCTTAACTTAAATCACGCTTTTGTGGGCGCGGTTTTGTCGGCACGTTGGCGCGTTTATGACATCACGGTGTTCTCACTGCGGTTTTGTTGGCGCGCTTTTGTCGGGTCACGAAATAAAATAGATGTAGAATAGGACAGGACAGGACAGAAAAGAATAGAATACAACAGAAAATATGGAAGGGAATAGAATTGAATGGAAGGGAAGGGAAGAGAAGAGAAAGGAAGGGAAGAGAAGGGAAGAGAAGATTAGAGAAGAAAAGAGAAGAGAAAATACTGAATGGAATAGATAGGCATGAAATGGAGTAGAATCGAATTGAATCGAATTGATTCAAATCGAATCAGATAGAATAGAATAGAAAAAAGAAAGAAAAGAAAATACTGAATGGAATAGAATAGGAATGGAATGGAATGGAATGAAGTGGATGGATAAGGGCAGCTTTCGACTTACGACCACAAATGGAGCTCTGATTTCCATTGCTACCATTTTGCCCCCTGTTACGACCTCCCTTACCACGGCCGTTGAGTTGCAAACAGCAGTGGGTTTCCCGTGACGTTACCGGTGGTTCGCCCTGTGCCCGCCCGTGCGCTTTCCACGCATGCGCCCGACTTCATGAACGTGTCTAAATAGGATGGCACAGAACCGGGGCGGGTGAGCAGACCCATCCGCGGTTTCTGCAACCGGTTCAGGCGAACCGGTACGAGCCGGCTGAATACCACCTCTGGTTACAAACACGGTCGTTGAGTGAATCCTGCTTCTTCATGGTCAGAAGGCCATGCAACCGTCATAAAGGTGAACCCGTTGCCAAGCATCTGATTTTAGATCATGTTGACCAAGGTCGTAAGTCTGAAAAATGGACGCAAGTCACTAAGCAGACAGTTGTAAGTTGAGGGCTATACCTGTATTCCATTCCTCTCCTATCCATCTATTTGTTTTTCCTGTAGGTTGTTTTGGATGAAGCTCTGCTCATCAACCTCTCCTCGTGCGTTGATGTCCTCCTGACCCACCATGGAGAAAGAGGTAGTCAACCTAGTTTTCCTCTCCTGGAAGGGTTGGGCCTCTGGGGAGGAGAGGAAGGACCTCAATTATGCTCCTGGGCTAATAATTTTTGGAAGAAGGGGGAGGAAGAACTGGAGAGGAGGAGGAGGAGCATCAGAAGGAGGAGGACAACCCATCTTCTGAGTTGGCTTGGAGGCATTTGGGTGTAACTCACAAGGGGAGAAGAGCCGGTTCGAAAACAATTCATTTCTTCTCAATCCATCCTCACCCTTGAGAAGCACGTTCTTCTCCTCCTCCTCCTCCTTCTCCTCCTCCTCTTCTTCTCCTCGATCCCATCAGCAGGATGGACCAGAATGGATCTTCTCAGAACCAGCCTGGGGAACAGGTGATCTACAAGGTTGAAGTGACTACGGGACAAGGCCTTTTGACGGGGACTTTCGATTTGATCTCCATCGTCTTGGTGGGCACCAACGGAGAAAGCCCCAAGACGTACCTCAACCAGTTTGGGATGACCTGCTGTCAAGGATCGGTAAGATTCGGGTTCAAGTCCCAAGAGAAGGAAGTTGGGAGATGGTGGTACCTTAGTTCCTGGAATAGATTTTGATCCAAAGAGACAGAATAACAGAGTTGGAAGGGACCTTGGAGGTCTTCTATTCCAACCCCTAGTCAACCCCTATACTATCTCAGAATAGATCAGAATAGAGGGACCTTGGAGGTCTTCTAATCCAGCCCTCTGCTCAAGCAGGAGAACCTGTACCATCTCAGACACATTTCAGATAAATGCTTAGCCAATCTCTTCTTAAAAGCCTCCAGTGATGGATCACCTGCAACTTCTGGTGACAAGCCGTTCCACTGGTTAATTGTCCTCCCTGTCAGGAAGTTTCTCCTTAGTTCTAGGTTGCTTCTCTCCTTGGTGAGTTTCCATCCCTTGTTTCTCGTCCTGACTTCGGGTGCTTTGGAACCAATTCCAATCCGATTTCAGACCTGGCGTCAAGCATCTCCAGCATCTCAATAGCTTTGCTTTCCTTGGCAGATGGTGAGAAGAAAAATAAGAGGAACTGAAGGCTATTGTTCTCCCTAGTGTTATGGCCCACCAGTGGAGCCGGAAGCAGATTCAGACAGTGATGAGGGGAGGAACCTGGGCCAGTCCTGGAGTCTGGGGAAGGCTCGGACGAGGGCTCTGCGTCGGAGGCAGAGAGGGGGCCAG